CTTGCTAAACTTTGGTACCTTGGGACCCAAACTGTCTCCTTTACATGGCTTTGTAAAAGTATTCTGTTTAATCCCGAAAAGGCTTTCAAAATGGTTTGACTTAAGAAACTGCTTTCAAAGAGGTGTTTATTTATTTGCACGATACTCTGCTACTTTGATAGTATTCCGTGAAGGTGAGAATGTGGAATTTTGTTCTCACCCCCTACATTTTAGTGACAGGTACAGGTACTCGAATAGAGGTCGAGGATTTGATTCTAAGTTCTCGGGTCGCTGCTGTATTGGTTTGGTCTAGAAGAGTTGTTCCCCTCATCCCATGTTTTATTTTGAAATGTTTAGAGGGGTAGGATGTGTATTGTAACTTTGTAATAATAGTTATTATGCACTGTTGCTACTTGTATATATATCTATACTTGCCTGGTTGCTGGTTGTAATTGAATACAGGTAACTAGATAGGATTTGGTAATGTTATAAATACAGAGGAGACTCTGTTCAATTTTCTGTAAAATTCTCAGGTGTGTTTATTAGAGGCTCGATATTAAATTAACATAGTAATGAATGAAAGGTCGAAAAGGTCTATAACTCTCGGATTTTGGCACGATCATGAGGTGCTGAGGTCTAGGGTGTTACACCAAAACTCTTCCCCAAACGTTTCCAATTTTAAGCATATTTTCTTTGGTCCATCCGTGTACCGGTAGCCCTGTGAATTCCAACCAGTATCACCTGTACGCATTTGTCTCCCCCTCGGACCATTTTCTAACTTCAGTGAACTGCTGTTGTGTGCTCGTAACCTTTAAGGCCTCGTCCCTCAGTTCAACCGTCTCGAAGCTAACCAGCACCTTCATTGGACCAATCATTTTCACCGTCTCTACTCCCTACCATACCTCCATAACCGCCTTCCTCATATCTTCGTAATTGTATGGTTCCCAGGTTTCTCCACTAAACTCTGTTCCAATTTGCCTTTCAACTCCTTATCACAATCTAGGTAGATTTTTGAGCTTCCTAGAGTTTGTAACTTTTCATCCCCTTCCAGGCTCCATATTCCACTGTCTGTTTCCTCATTGAGGACTGCATCCTTATATGACTTTCTCCCCGTCTCTACTTGTTTCAGTCCCTCATTTTCATGTCTCATGTTCTCCGGTGGCTCCTTTGTCACAACCTGTCGTTCTGGCTTGTTACCCTTTATCGACTCCTGCTTTTCACTTCTTTTGAATCTCGATTCCGTAAGCCATGGTTTGCAACCCCAGACGATCCAACCATGTAAGTGTTCAATTGCCTTTCTGACTTCTTCCCTTGTACTAAATCTTACAAACGCAAATTTCAGCGGGTTCTTCGCTCTCACCTTATGTGATAGGTAGATATCCCTAACCCTTCCAATCTCACTGAAGACCTTCCATAGCCATTGCCTGGTGGTGTCTGTTGGTAGGTTGTCTACATAAACGCTGAACGTTTCATCTTCAATCCATCTCAAAACTCTATGATTGTTGTGACCCCTGCTGTGTTCCCCTTGCTGATACACCGATGACTTTGGTTCCGGTGATAAGTGGCCTTGCCGCCAATGGCTATTCGGATTTCTCCTATGCACTACCCTCTATTGATCTTTCGTTTCCCCCTCACCGTTCCTCTGGTTTTCTCTCTCTCTCTCTAGGATTCTCTCTCATGGCAAATTATTATTATTCTTATATAGTACTTGTAAAATTTTCAAATGGTAGTGGGGGCACTTGCCCCCACACCACAATGAGTACATCCGTCCCTGCCTGACATGATAATATACGATTGGTTGTCTGTATAAATTTTTTTTAAATCAGTAATCATATATATCACATAAAAGAAAAACTTGCATAACTTTTATTTGATAAATGCTCTTATTTCAAGCTCGGAATACATAATAATGTGTTGTACACAAACACAATGAGAAGAGTATAATTTAAGTTGACGTATGACGTATAGCACTGATCAATTAATCATAGCAGCAGCATTCATTAGAGGGCTGAGGCCCTGTACATTCCCAACGACTATAAGGACGCTTATCAGCTAAACAAAAGGTGTGACACTTTGCAGTAGTACAGCCATCCAAAAACCGGCAGATACTATTAGTCGTGAACCTTGTGCCACCACTTCTTGCCTCTGTAAGAATAATAATAAACACAAAAATTTCATTAGAATTTGCTTGTGAATTGATCTTTAATTTTATGTAAGAGTTGAAAAGTTGGAAAGGTTATTAAAAATAAATTTTATTATTGTGATTTTAAAAAAATAGTTTGAAATAGATATTTTAGATGTTTTTATTATTCAATAAATTTGCTTTTGAAGTCATGAAAGTTAAACTTGATTTTTTTCTTAGAAAAAGTTGAAAACAAGCTCACTCAAAGTTATGACATGAAATTTGAAACAAAAGAAGCATTATATAGTTGAGTTTAATTTTGATGCATTGACGGTGTAAAGAGTTTTACACAGTCATCCAATAAGATTCACGCATTTATTTGACTTTAGAAGTAGTGGGCTTGAAAATTAATTGTTTTTGATGATGTGGTAACATCTGATTGAATGTATGTGTAAAACTCTTTTACACTGACGGTACATGGAAATTAAATTCTATATAGTTTATAATATTTTAAACTTATAATATAAATAATTTTATTTGTACGTAATATATGGCATTATACCTTCTACGGTTCTCAATATATTGTATACCATATAAGATAGATTTTTAGTATGAGAAAAAGACCCTCTCCCGGCGAAACAACAATTTATTAAATAAGATTTAAGATAAATTTCGTTACCTGAAGTGAAAAGTAAAGTCATGAGAAGAAAGCACAATAAAAGTTTTGAAACAACGTTTTTAGTA